GTGATGCAAGGCATTTATTCTTCCCAGTGGTTTGGTCCTGGACCAGTTACCCCACCTCTCAGGATCTTGGTTATTCATCTGGGAAAGTGGAGCTAATAACTGCACAGGGATGGGTGAGAATTTAAGGAGCTGAATCTATAAAGTCACCTATCATGGTGCCCAGCACATAAACACTAGCTTGTAAATCTCACTGTGAGGTACAGTAACATTCCAATCTGTCAAAACTCTTAATTAATTTAGGAGTATCAAACACTCTCACTAAAAATAAAGGATTCCCCAGAAACATGTGAGGGATTTAATTTGTCAACACTGAATTATACTTCTCTACAGGGCAGCTATTATTCTGTTCATCTACAGATTTCATGATTTATTCAACATTCCAACTCCTGACTAAACATTCAGCAGGTGATATACTTCCAATTTACTGCTGGGAGCATTTAAGGAAAACCAACAAAAATTCCTTGCACAACATTCCCCAGTTAAAAAGAAAGAGCTGGTGTAAACATTATTTCAAGTGTCTGCGATGGAAACATATTTACATTTCCAGCTTCTGTGATTTCTCTACCTTCTCCTGAATTGCCAGACCTGCTTCCCTGCTGTGCAGAAGGCCCGTGGTGATTACAGTGGAGAAATTTCATCTTGTTTTGTGTTTCTCATCTCTCCAGCTCATATTTGAATATATGTTTGACTCTTCTTTCAGAAAAGTGAATTTGATAAGTTACTAAGGGCATCCAGATATGATCACCATATGTAAATAGTTTCTACCAAAAAACATATAGGCTGTGACTTGGAAAGCAGCAGGGCAGGAGGAGGGGAGACGTCAGGCTGAGGAGGCATAGAGCCTAAATCAAGAACTCACATAATTTCTGTTATGTGTTTCCAAATACACAACTGGTCTTGTGAAACTTCAAATGCACAGAAATTCCCATGTGAGGTATACGCTTCCTATAAGCCACTTTATCTCTCAGTTTTATGTAGCTAGGAGCAAGTACCATCTGAGGAAACTTAAGGCAAAGCACAGTAAATTTATTCCTCTTTTTTTTTTGGTAGTACTGGGATTTGAACTCAGGGCCTCATGCATGCTAGGCAGGTGCTCTGTCACTTGAGCCACTCTGCCAGCCTCTTTTTTGCTTTAGATATTTTTCAGGTAGAGTCTTGTGTTTTTGGCCCGAGCTGGCTTGGACTTTGATTCCCCCACTTACATTTCCTGCATAGCTGGGATAACAGACATACATAACCATATCTGGCTTATTTTTTGAGATGGGGGTCTCAATAACCTTTTGCCTGTGCTGGCCTTAAACCATGATCCTCCTGATCTCCATCTCCTGAGAGGTGGACTGACAGGTGTGAGGCACTGTGCCAACTGAATGCATCTTTTTAAAAGGAAGAGCAGTATGACAGAGTGGCAAAATTACTAAACTCAGAATCAGAGGGCCTGGGTTCAGGCTTTGTCCCTGCCACTATGTGCCACTATGTGCCACTATGTGTCACTATGGCCAACACTACTGTGATTCATCCATCAGGCTTCTCGGCGCTCTTCCCCCTCACCACCAGCAGAAAGCCTGGCAATTTTCAGTCTGATATGAGGCATATGAAGAAGTGTGCAAACCTGACGAAGTTTAGTGTTCCTGAGAAAAGGAATATTTCGGGTGAGGGTGACACTGCTCCTTCCCACATTGCTTCTTCTCTTAACCATGGTCCTGTGCCTGGAGACAAAACAGCCATCCCGTACCAATGAAGGAAAAGCCAAGCGAAGGGCAGATAGGAGCCATGACAACGTGAGCTGTCCAATCTTGAGGCTGGAGGCTGCCTCCAATCTCCCTTTAGGAAGCTTCCACCCCAGCCAATATAGATGGCAGAAGGTGTACTTTCTGCAAATGATGGGGTGACTCTGGAAGTTACTTTAATTCCTGCTCCATAAAGCGAAGATGCAAGCAGCACACCCAAACTCAACGCTGGGACTCTTGAATTCAGCAATCCATAAAATGTTCTTTGTTAACTCTTAAGTTCAGAGACAAGGGAACTCAAGCCTAGAGAAAATGTTTGGTGGCTTTATTTAGTAGGGAAAGAAGAATGTGAGGTGATTCTACACCAAATCTGCCTCAATTGTGCTTAGATGAATGGCGGCAAAATGATGTCTTTTGTGAACTGCAAGATTTTATGTTCTTCTAATTCCTTTAGCTTTCTTTGTTATTTGCCTCAGTTTATCATCTCCATTCTTTCTCCCTCTCTCTGTCCCTCACGCACATACTCTAGCACCTTTTTATGCATCATGGTGTTGGTAATTCTTCCTTTATTTTTCTTTGCAGTATTGGGTTTTGAACTCAAGGCTTTGTTCTTGCTAGGCAGGCACTCTACTGCTTGAGCACAATCCAGCCCTTTTTGCTCTGGTTATTTTGGAGATAAGATCTCACTTTTTGCCCAAGATAGCCTGGACTGTGATCTTCCTATTTTAAACTTGCCATAGTTGCTGAGAAGATAGGCATGTACCACCATGGCTAGCTTTTTTTCTGTTGAGATGGGGTCTTGTGAACTTTTTTTGCCTAGGCTGGCCTGGAACAGCAATCGTCCTGATTTCAGTCTCCCAAGTAGCTGGGCTTACAGACATGAGTCACTGGTACGCAGCAGTTTGTTTTTGATTTTTCCTTGTGTTGCCTTTGAAATAACTTGGGAACCCTAGGTGCAGAACTGGAAGAGTCATGTTGATTAAGCATCCTCTCTCAATCCTATTACTTGGCTCCCTGATTTCAGGGGTAAAAGAGAAATAGCCATTTAGCCAATCAGAAGGGACCATCCTGAGAGACTTATGAGAGAACTGCAACCAGAAGTTTCAGAGTAAAACTACCTGTCCCCATGGACTTAAGGTTATAAAGGAAAGAGGAAGAAAAAGGAGAAAGGAAAAGAAAGAGAAGCAAGCAATCTTTCTGAGGACCTGCTAGGTGACAGGCTGCGACTACTTGGAACTGTGGCCTGGGGGGTGTCAAGGGCATGTGACCTGTGCAGCTGCACAGTGTGGGACCTGAAGAGCCCTATGGTTGCTTTAATGCCCTACTGCTGTTTGCCTTGAAGTCATTTTCAACATTTGAATAAGGACTCCTGTGTTTCATTATGCACTGGGCCCTGCAAATTAGGTGGCATCTCCTGACTGTGGCATTTGAATCATTTCAATGCATTAACTCCCCTGGGAAGGGAGATGGCATAATCTTATCCCCAAATGAAGAAATTGAGGCACAAGGTATTGATGAAGGCTGCCCAGATGGACCACATGCAGAAAGGGAGGGGCAGAGCTAAAATTCAAGTCATTCCAACTGCAAGGTCATTCTGTATTAATTCAAGTTTCCCTTAGATAGAATGGCTGAATTCTGCCAATGTCTGGAAAGCAGAAATGTGTGGCTCCAAAAAAGTATTCTTTAAAGAAAAGAATGTTAGTAGTGCTAATGTTTCTTCATAAAATGATGAGTGATAACAAGACTATATGGGAATTTATTCTATGAATAAATGTACCCACTTATTCAATGGGTTTATTTATCCCAAAGCTATGAAAAATATCTGTCAGGAAAAATTAGGAATGAATGCCAAAACATATGGGCCAGCCAAACTAAGAAACTATAAATTTATGGAGATGCTTAATTCTGAACCTCAGAGTGATGTCCCCTGCAGAAACTCTGCAGGGATCCATTCTTGCACAGTGTGAGCATCGCATGTTAACCAAGAACTGTTGCTTCTTTTTCAATTACTAGAAATCCAAGGGCTGGAGTTTTATGCTGGGGCTTCTTCAGATTCTGCCTAAAATAAATGAAGAAATTGATCTTGACCCTTGTAGTCTTTTGATTTAGCAAGGGGGCTGGGAACAGAACTCTTTGCAATTTCCTACTGCATCCACTGAAGGTCATTCTTCCTTTTCCGATCAGAAGTGACAGCTTCCATTTGTCACTGCTCTAAAACCAAGCCAGAGTTTTGTATGCAAATTAAGTGTGTATATCAATGACTGTAATAAAGCCTAACAGTGGTCTTTTTGAGTGACGATGAATGGAATGCTTTGAAGATGTGGCATAGCCCAGAGATGCTTTTCATCATCATCATAGAAACAAGGAGGATAGAGACAAACCACATGAACAATGCAAGGGAAATTGCCAGATCACCAGGAAATGCATTTCCTGGGCTTGGCTATAATAAGTTTATGCTGGATTCATTTGAGTGAGAAAAATAGAACAGCTACAATAGTGTTTTCTTCCCCATTAAAAAAGGAGGGGGGAGCTCTTGTGACCTTCAGTAGTAGGATTATCCCACTGTAATGTATGTATATTAAACATTAACAGTCTTACCAGGTTACTCTCCCAGGTCAAATTGTATTAGCATTTAGTTTTGACTTTGGTTTTTGCTGGTGAATTGTTTAAGTAATGTAAGAATCTGAGGTTCTATGATAAAAATCACATAGTCACATAATGGAAGTTATTAAGGGCTTTTGAAGATTTGCAATAGCAGGAGCAGTTGTACATTAGTCTCTTCATCTCTGTTCTGCTTTCATTAAAATGTTTTGTGGAGCAAAGGGCTACTTCTTTTGTGGTATGATTCAGAGCAAGGCTCAAAAAGCTTTAGGTTTTTTTGTAGGAGGTTAGAACTAAAAAGATGGCCTACCTTTCTCTCTCCACACCTTAGCTAGAGTGATTGCACAAGCCCTCCCTTACTTTCTAGAATGACTCTTAAGAACAAAGCTGCCAGGTGGCTGGGACACAGAAGGATTCAATTTCCTTACTCTGATTAGAAGGATGCCCACTGTAACTTGTAGGAACTGGGAAGTAGTTGTCTGATTCTTTTCAACATTATCCTGACAATTCTGAATTCTCAAATATGATTTCTGACCACCATGGGAAAAACCAGAGTGGGACCAGCCCTTGGAGGAGTCTGGATTGTCACCATGCCCTCAAGCCTGTGTCTTGAGAGGTTGGGAGGAAGCTAGCTATGGGAGGGAGTTGTGTGTGTGTGTAAATTATGCATACCAATTTGAAGGTAGACAGCAGTGTCCCCATGGTGTAACTCCAGTCTTCTCTGCAGAATCTGCAAGCAGAGAGTCTGAGAAAAGGCAGCCCATGCAAATTAATCACCCCACTGAATGTTGCCAAGACTTGGTTGAAAAGAAGTTGGGGAATAGAGACATTTAGTTTCATTTCTTCCACTGCTTGTCCCCAATAACTAAGCTAACAGCACACATTAGCTTCATTCCTCCTGACTAAACAGAAAATAAAGAAAACCACTCTAAGGAATGGGTAGATGCGTTGGAGCAAATGTTAAGAACCACTCCAGAAAGATGAAACTCAGTGTGTTATACCCAGGTGGTCTCTTAAAATGAACAGTTTAACCTTTTGCTTCCTACAGCACAGAGGAAAGAGACAACCCTTCCCTGAGACTTGCTGTTGCTGCTGCCACCATCACTGCTGTAGCTCTGGTGTCCAACTGGGAAGAGAAAGGACCCAGCAGCTTTGGAGCAGCAGTCCTAGACCTTCACTAGATCTTGCACCTGGCTCTGCTCAGTAGTGCACAAGAGCTGTGGGACATGGGAGGGGGGTAGGGAAGAAGATGCTGAAGAAGCATCAATAATGGATGACTAACATGCTGGGAGAGCTGGGGAAGGAAAGGAGGGAGAGGTAGGAGGAGAGAGAAGCTGTGCTCCCAAAGAGCTGGCATGGTCACTGTGCACCTGCAAAACTCAGCTTATATTGATGTTGGGGCAAAGGAAATGAGAAGGAATGTGGAAAGTGCCTTGAAAGAAGGGTTGGGAGGAAGTAGCAGCTACATAATACACTACCCCACACTTATCTCAGTTACAGGACACTCTCTGAGCTTAGTGCTGGTCATACCACTGAGACCAACCATGGAAACAATGTGGATGGACTATGATCACAGGTGCTCTCTGACTTGAGTTTGACCAGAGATGTGTCTGTTGTCCTCATCATGAGTGATTTCCTCCTAAGCATGAAAGAAATAACCTCTTTGGAAGGGTACACAGTTTAAAAGGGTTTGCTGCTGCTTTCAATGCTTGTGTTCTTTCAGATACATGAATTAATAATAAAACCATTTTTATCAAGTAAGCAACCTAAAGTTCACAAGATTGCCCGAGGACTAGGTTAAGGGAACTTTTCTAAAGCAAGTGCAGATATACGACTACCAACTTCAAAACTTAGACAAGCCCATAGTGAAGGTCAATTTGTGAGTCGTCTCCTGATGAGACACAAGAGTACCCACTTATTCACTAGTCCATTTAATCATTCATGCATTGGATGGACATTTATTGGAAGCTGAATGCATGCCCACCAGTGTACTAGACTTCAGGGCACTAGATTTAGAGTCATGATTACAAATTCTGCTTCCTGGGCTGTACACAATTTCCTCCTGTCATGGCTTAAAGGCTAAGGAGGGAAGAAACCTAGGTTCCCACATCCACTTGCTGCTATCCTATCCTCGCTCCTGCTCCTGAGATTGTTGGTAAAGAGATGGCAGCAGGCTTGTGACATGCCCCCGCCACCCTCCCAGAATAGCCCCAGCTGAATCTTTGGTGAACCACTGTGAACACATAACACAAGATACAGAGAAGCTAAATGTAGGGTGTAAAATCAAGAGGACATGATATTCCCCACTAGACAAAAGCAATTGCACATTATGAAGAAGCCAAACCTTGATACTAAGGTTACTGACTCTATTATCCTTGTTGAGGGAGGCTTTTTAGAGAAGTTAAGTCTAAAAGGCATAAAATGACTTGATATATATCAATTCATCTAGATTGGAGAACTGATGGAGGCTTACAGGTCCTGAGTTCTTTGGCTGCAAGTCGCTTTTCCCTTTCCATTTCATTCCCTTTATTTCAATTTAAAGGTAGATATTACACCTCTTTCTGCCTTGTGTTCAGATTGCTGAACATGAAAGTGTAGATGTGGATCTCTTATCAGCTTCATTTGTATTTATTATTCATGGATAAGAGCTCTGTAGGAGAATCTGCATTTTGTTTGAGCAGATGTTTACTTGGAGTTTAAATAGATTTGAACAGATCTTCATATTAATTAATTAATAATTAAGCAGCAATCTTTTGAACATTTGCCATGTGCAAGTAGAATTCTGAGCACCACTGAGTGATTGGTCAAACACACTGCCTTCTGGGAGCTTAGAGAATTTTAAGGGACTATTGAAGACAAAGATAACAAATAACTCCCAAACAGGATAAAAAGTAGGAAGAGACATTGGAGAAGAACTCAAAATTCAGAGGAGGCAAAGACAAAGTGATCAGGAGCTTTGGAAAAAAGTGGATTTGAGTTGAGTTTGGACAACAGATGTGTTTGTGGTATCATGGTGCCTGGAACACATGCATACTAGATTCATATTTGGTGTTAAGAAGCATTCCTCTTAAAGTCAAGGATAATATAAAGACATCCCCATCCTTTATTCAATGTTGTTCTGAAGTTCACCTAAAACAATCAAGAGCAAGATATATAAGGATTACAAATGCTGAGAACAAGGAAGTAAAGTGATCATATTTAGCGATGATCTGATTATATACCTAGAAAACTACTAGCAATAAAAAGGTATTGCATCAGGTGCCTAAGCAAAGTTCATATCTAGAAATTCTCTGCCTTAATATTTGTAAATTACAACTTGTTAGGAAATCTCAAAGGAAGAAAAGACTATTACTTAAATACATAGGAATAAATGTAATTGAGACATGTAAGAGCTATATAAACTGAATGTTAAAATACCATTCAGGGTGATAAAGACCTTTAAAGAAATGACATACATATCACAATTTTGATCAGAAAGCTCAATACTGTAATAATTCAATTGTCTTTAATTTAGTATATCAATTTTCAATAACCTCAAAATAGCAAGGGAATTGTTTTTCATGGAATTGAAGACAAGATGATTCTAAAGTTTATTTGGAAAACAAAAACAAGCCAAGAATATGAAAAAAGATACAAATATAGATAATAGCAAGAATTATAATGCATTTTAGACTGGGTGTGGTAGATCAAGCCTGTAATCCTAGCTATTTAGGAGGCTGAGGTCAGAAGAATTGTGTTTTGATGCCAGCCCAGGCAAAAAGTTTGCAAGACCCCATCTAAACCAATGGCTAGGCACTATGGCCTGTGCTTGTCATGAGGGAGCACAAATAGGAGGACCATGGTCCAGGCTGGCCTAGGCATAAAATGAGACCCTGTCTCAAAATAACCACACAAAAAGGGCTGATGGAGTAGCTCAACTGGTAGAGTGCCTGCCTTGCAAGTGTGACACCCTGAGTTCAATTCCCACTATTGTAAGGAAAAAACTCACATAGTATATATATATATATAATAAAAACATTCTTATGTTAGTACATGAAGACACAGATCCAATAGTGTCTGTTAATATCTGAAAAAGATGACACTGCATTGCTTACTAGGAGAAAAAATGAATTATTGTCAAGCAGGTAATCAACTGAAAAAACAATGTTATGGGTTTTTGTCTCATACCTTATGTCAGCATAAATTCCAGATGAATCAAAGACTTAAATTAAAATATTAAACTATTAAAAACCAGACAAAAGCATCAGAAGAACTTTTTACAATTATAAAGTAGAGAAAATCCTTCTGTGTATAACTTAAAACCCAGAACCCATAAAAGAAAATAAATTTGACATCATAAAAAAAATTAAGATCTGGGCAGCAAAACCTACTATAAACAAATTCAAATGGTAAGTGACAAATTTCAACTCCATATATCATAGAAAAAGGCCTAACTTACTTAATATAGAAAAAGATTCCTCAAATCAATAAAGTAAAGGCCAGAAATAAAAAAAGATTTTTAGCCTATGGAAAGAGATTGGCCCTCACTTCTAAGATGATGAATAAAATAAAACCGTGGTGACTTGACAATATTTTTACTTGTCCTCTTGGTCAAGATCTGAAGGTTTGATGACAGCTGGCTTGATGAAAATGTAGGGAACATTGCCTACGGTTGTTTAAATTGGAATGAATTCTATGGATAGCAATTAACAATGTTTATTAAAATCTAAGTGTGCATAGTCTTGGTCTCAGACTCCTAACTTGTAAGAATTTACTTCTCCAGAACTGAGATGACTCTTGGTCAAGAAAATTTACTAATTTTGGGACAAAAGAGGAGAAAGCAAATATCTATTAACTGGGAGGAAGGTAGATAGATTAGCCTGCATTTGCACTTGTACTATAGACAGTGCAGCTGTTAAAAAAGAGTAAGGTATTGCTCCATGCACTGGCACAGAACTGTTCTAGGTACCTCCTATTTTATCATCTGGTAAAAGAAGGCTCCCTTGCCCAAAATAGAGCAAGACAATTGAAGACATGACACTAGACAAATGGGACAGTTTATTGGTCACATAGACTTGCAGTCTGGGAAAGGCACTGCTCAGTATCCAGCTGTATAGGGGATGTGCTCCTGAGCAGAATGAACCAGAGAAGCTGTGAGAGGTAGGCTTAGTAGTAACAAGTGGATAAGAAGGCTGTGGTTGGCTTATTTGAATAACTTCATGGCTGACAGGTAAATCAAGGACTGAGTAGGGTCTACCTGGTCCAGTTGGTACAGAAATTCTCCAAGTGGGGAGTTCTCATTTTTGTTGCACGTCTGGCAACAGTAAGGGAACTTATGGTTAGGCCTTTACAGCTATAAAATGTCAAGAAGAAATTTTAGGTCCTACCATACAGGATGACTTCTTAGTACGTGAGAGAAGAGGTATAGGATGCTATTATATGCTACTTTCAGATGAAAGGAGAATATTTATGCTAATATATACAGAATGTCTCTAGAATGAGAGACAAACACTAGCATTAATGAACTTTCATAGGAAAAAGAACTGGTTGAGTGGATTACTGGGGTGAAAAAGAGTCAACTTTTGCTGTGAAGTATATTATTTACATATACCCATGAATAAATATGTAATTTATATTTCTTAAAAATAGCCTATGTTGAATTAGCTGACATAGTCAAGAAATCATGGAAGAATAAAAGGGAAAATGGTGGTTTTTACTTTGCATTAATTGTGTGACACAAGACAGAGGGATAAGTAAAAGAAGAAG